TAATTTAGCACGGCCAATCCACCCTAACCTGCACATCCCTGGACACTATGGGACAATTTAGCATGGCCAATCCACCCTAACCTGCACATCTTTGGATTTGTAAGTCTTGTAAGTACAAAAAAACAATGAAAAAAGAACAATACAGCACAGGAACAGGCCCTTCGACCCTCCAAGCCTGTGTCGACACATTTTACCCTTCCATAGTAAAACTGTCATCATTTACAGGATCTGTATCCCGTTCTATTCATTGGAAGTCTTGACTTGTAAGTATTTTTGTAGCCAAGGAGATGTCTTTTTAAAACCGTTTGAGGAGATAGTTTTGAAAACTAATGGGAATTTGTTTACACTGGGAAAGCTTACGAGCATGCTAAGTAAATTTTGCAGTGCGTTATGGTTTCAGGTAGAAGATTCTGGATTTCTTGGCGGGTTTAGGGTAAACATGCTCAGGAAAACAGGTCATTAGTTTCAGTTTGGGGCAGTTGTGCAGTGCAACTGGCTGAAGCTGGAGCTGTAAAGGAGTTGCTCCTGAGAAAAAATAATTTAAAATTGTTCAAAATAGGTTGGTTACCAGTGTGTTTTAGGCATGTGTTTTACATCTGGAGCATCCTGTGTCCACCCACAGAGCCCGAGAGGCCCGAAGACAAGAAGGAGTGTTACCTCAGTCTCGATGATACGATCTTCTGCGACAGTGTCCTTGCGACCAACATCACAAAGGAGGAATGCTGCTGCTCTCTAGGGGCAGGATGGGGCAACCACTGTGAGATCTACCCCTGCCCTGTGCACAGCACAGGTAAGAGGTGCAGGCTGTTCTCTCACGTACTTTCGAAGGAAATGGAGATAGGCAAAAGTAAGGCTCTTCCACCCCTTGCATGTGGGGACGCTTGTCAGCGAGAGAAAGGGCTGGAGGAGTTTCTTGACAATCCACCCCAACTTTGTCATGGGCACCAGGGAAAGCTCCTTCCTCTACAACTCAATTAATAAGTGCGTAAGAAAGAATCGAATTTCTTCAGAGTTTTCATGTGGTTCAGGGCATCCTGCAACCAGTGCCAACTTTTTGAAGTGCAGCCACGGTAAGGCAACTTTTGCACAGCAAGATCCCACAATCTCTTCTGAGCTAATGACCTTTTTTTTTCCTTTATTCGTTCACGGGATGAGGGCATCGCTGGCTAGACCCAGCATTGATTGTCCAGGGGGCAGTTAAGAGTCAACTGCATTGCTGTGAGTCTGGAGTCACATGTAGGGTTAGGGTTACCATTCAATCATGGGGTGAGGGCATCACTGACATTTATTGCCCATCCCTAATTGCCCAGAGGGCAGTTAAGAGTCAACCACATTGCTGTGGGTCTGGAGTCGCATGTAGACAAGGATGGCAGTTTCCTTCCCTAAAGGGAATTAGTGAACCAGATGGGTTTTCCCCCTCCGACAATTAACAATGGATTCACGGTCATCATTAGATTCTTAACTCAAGATAATTATCGAAATCAAATTCCACCATCTGCCGTGGTAGGATTCAAACCCAGGTCCCCAGAACGTTATCGGGGTCTTTGGATTAACAGTCCACTGATAATACCACTAGGCCATCGCCTCCTGCTAAGTTTGTGAATCATTGGTCGTAACATGAATGTTGACTGAGGAGGGCTACCCTGTTTTTCTTAAAATAGGGACTCATCTTTGTACTCATCTGAGGGGCAAACAGCGCCTTGCATTAATGTGTCCTCTGAAAGACAGCAACACCAACAGTGCAGCACTCCCTCAGCATCGGTACCCGATTTGTTAGCCTGCGTTTTGTGCTCCGGTATCTGGGAGTGAGGCTTGATCTTAAGAACCTGCGTCTCAGGCAAAGGAGAGGCGTGTGCCCTGCACCCATTGTCACGCACTGCCATATGCTGCTTCACCACAGAAGGGCAGACTCCCAGACATCTACCTCAAGCCTGTTGCATCGGAACCAAAAAAATGGTCTTTCAGCGTCTCGTCTGAAGCACAGGAACAGAAGGAGCTCTGACAGTCTGGATCATGGAGTCATACAGCACAGAAACAGACCCTTCGGTCCAACCATGCTGACCATAATCCCAAACTAACCTAGTCCCACCTGCCTGCTCCTGGCCCATATCCCTCCAAACATTTCTTATTCATGTACTTATCCAAATATCTTTTAAACATTGTAACTGTACCCACATCCACCACTTCCTCTGGAAGTTCATTCCATGCACGAACCACTTTCTGTGTAAAAAAAAATGCCCCTCATGTCTTTTTTTAAATCTTTCTCCTCTCATCTTAAAAATATTACCCCTGGTTTTGAACTCCCCTGTCCTAGGGAAAAGACACCTGCCATTCACCCTATCTATGCCCCTCATGATTTTATAAACCTTTACAAGGTCACCCCTCAACCTCCTATGCTCCAAGGGAAAAATCCCCAATCCATCCAGCCTCTCCTTGTAACTGAAACAGTAACATGCTGGTAAATCTCTTACAAACCCCCTCCAGCTTAATGATATCCTTCCTATAACTGGGCGACCAGAACTGAACACAGTACTCCAAAGGGACTTCACCAACATCCTGTACAACCTCAATATAACTTGCAATTCTTATACTCAAAGGTCTGAGCAATGAAGGCGCGCGTGCTAAACACCTTCTCAACCACCCTATCGATATGTAATGTGAGTTTCAAAGAAGTATGTACCTGAACCCCTAGGTCCCTCTGTTCCAGAACACTACCCAAGGCCCTACCAGTAGTTGTATAAACCCTACGTTGTACCAAAATGCAATACCTTGCATTTATCTAGATCGAATTCCAACTCCCGTTTTTCAGCCCATTGGCCCATTTGATCAAAATCCTTTCGTAATTCTAGAAAACCTTCTTCATGGTCCACTATGCCACCAATTTTGGTGTCATCCATAAACTTACTAACCATGCCTCCTATATTCTTATCCAAACATTTATCTCAATTTTATCTACGAATGTATGCTCGGTATCCCTTAATAAACTTATCGAACAAAAATCTATCAATCTTGACATTTTCAATTGGTCCCCACCAACTTTTGTAGGGGGATAGGGAGGGTCCTCATGATGCAGTGATCGTGTCCCTACCTCTAAGCCAGAAGGTCCACATTCAGGCCCTACTTTCCCCAGAGGTGTGTTACAGCATGTCTGAGCAGAATGTTTATAATCGATGGCCTTTTGCAGACAAGACTTGTAAATTTCAACCACCTTTTGTGTGAAATGCTTCCTGATCTCAACCTTATATGGCTGTATTTCTGATTTCAAAATACATTACTTCAAGTCCATGGCTGACCTGATGGTGATCTCAGCTCCATGTGCATCCTACAGTTTAATTGAATTTGATTTATCTCTGGCTTGTGACAACGCTGTAGCTTTGAGAGGTTCTTTTATCCAGGTTTCTATTAAGAGAGAGATTGAACGAGAGGTACCAAGCTGGCTAGTTAAGACCATTAGAGGGTTTTTTTTTTAATGAGTATGGCCCAGCTCTCTCAGATCAGGATTTCTGAGTAACATCAGAAGCTATTGGAGTCTCAACAGAGTTGAAAACTTCAGTGAATGATTCCTGGCTGCTACTCTCTCTGAATTTTCTCTTGATGTTCTTTTCCTCCTGGATTGGAGAACTGCATGTGAGCAGCTATGTCTGAATTTTCTTATTTTTGCCAAGAGGTGTGGTTGTGGGATATTACTTTATTGGAACAGTTAATTAGTAATAGTTACTGTATCTATCATTCTGTTAAGTTTCCAATTGAGTTGTTATTCTAAATTCTTCTTTCTTTGGTTGTATTTTAACTGCGGTGTTTAAATAAATTGTGTTTTGCTTAACATCGAGTAGTTTGACCAGTAGCAGCATATCTGGAACAGGCACTTTTCATCATTTATATAAATGTGAACATAGGAGGTATGGTTAGTAAGTTTGCAGATGACACCAAAATTGGAGGTATAGTGGACAGCGAAGAAGTTTACCTCAGAGTACAACGGGATCTTGATCAGATGGGCCAAGGAGTGGCAGATGGAGTTTAATCTAGATAAATGTGAGGTGCTGCATTTTGGAAAGGCAAATCAGGGCAGGACTTATACACTTAATGGTAAGGTCCTGGGGAGTGTTGCCGAACAAAGAGACCTTTGGGTACAAGTTCATAGTTGCTTGAAAGTAGAGTCACAGGTAGACAGGGCAGTGAAGGAAGTGTTTGGTCCGCTTGCCTTTATTGGTCAGTGCATTGAGTATAGGGGTTGGGAGATCATGTTGTGGCTGTACAGGACATTGGGAGGCCACTTTTGGAATACTGTGTTCAATTCTGGTCTCCCTGATATAGGAAGGATGTTGTGAAACCTAAAAGGGTTCAGAAAAGATTTATAAGGATGTTGGAGGGTTTGAGCCATAGGTAGAGGCTGAATAGGCTGGGCTATTTTCCCTGGAGCATTGGAGGCTGAGGGGTGACCTTATAGAAGTTTATAAAATATGAGGGCCATGAATAGGGTAAATAGCCAAAGTCTTTTCCCCTGGGTGGGGGAGTCCAAAACTAGAGGGCATTGATTTAAGTGAGAAGAGAAAGATTTAGAAGGGACCTGAGGGGCAACTTTTTCATAACGAGAGTGGTGCGTGTGTGGAACGAACTACCAGAGGAAGTGGTGGAGCCTGGTACATTTAGAACATTTAAAAGGCACCTGGGTGGTACATGAATAGGAAGGGTTCAGAGGGATATGGGCCAAATGCTGGCAAATGGGACTAGATTAATTTAGGATATCGGGTCAGCATGGACAGGTTGGGCTGAAGGGTCTGTTTCTGTGCTGTACAGTTCTGTGACTTCACATTTGCCTTTAAAAGTAAGAAACAGTTAGGGTCTAGGCTACCTTCTTAAAATACTCTCGGGAGGTGGAGGTGGCGGGGAGTCTGGTCTGGTCCATGACAGGCCTTTATCAATCCCACTTCCCTACAATTTTCAACATCCTTTTCAAAGGCTCATCTATTTCCCGTGCGGAAGGACTTTTGCTCATGACCTCTTTTTCCGGATTGGGCAGCTCAAGTTCTGTGAGACTCCACCCCACCCCAGGTTCAGCGAAAGTATAGTCTGTGAGCTCTTCAGTAATCTGTTTCACTCATTCCTGACTCTCTGTCCTTCCAGCTGAATTTCAGTCTCTCTGTCCAGACGGGGAGGGATTCCTGGTGACCGACGACAATCTGTTCGGCGTTGGGATTCCATCGTACAGAGGTGAGTACAGTCAGTATTTAGACTGTCCCCCACTTCATTTCCCTAGAGCCCTGCCTCAGATCCTTGATCCTCTTCTGCCATTCACTTCCAACACACATTACCTTAACTCCATCTTTCACGCCCTGGGTCTGTCAGTTTCAGTCTCTCATATTGTGGCAGTCAGTCAATCATTTCAGAAGGTTGATGTGTCACAGTATCTCTGGCCCAAGAGACTCAAGCCTCACCTTGCATGGCTGGGTATCATAATAGGCTAGAACTGCTCCACCTGGGAAGAGAGAGGACGAAAGATTTTGTGAATTCACCCAGGACTGGCCTCACCTGCATCCTACCTCGTGCCGAGTCCCATTCACCCCCCGTGCTCCAGGCTCAGCAAAGCCTCGATTTTAAAATTCCCCTCCTTGTTTTCGAATCCCTCTGCGATCTCACCTTCCCCTCCCTGCCTCAGTGACCTCCTTCCTCCCTGCAACTATCCCACGTCTCTGATTCCCCCTTCCAATTTCCTGGCCTCTTGAACACCTTTAGCATGTACACCCTAACCTACACATCTTTGGACTGTAGGAGGAAATTGGAGCAAGCCCACACAGATACAGTAGGGTGGCTCAGTGGTTAGCGCTGCTGCTTCACAGCATCAGGGGCCCAGGTTCGATTCCAGCCTCAAGCAACTGTCTGTGTGGAGTTTGCATGTTCTCCCCGTGTCTGCGTGGGTTTCCTCTGGGTGCTCTGGTTATCTCCCACAGTCCAAAGGTGTGCAGGTTAGGGTGGATTGGCCGTGCTAAATTGTCCCATAGTGTCCAGGGATGTGTAGATTAGGTGGATTATAGAGATGGGTGGGATGTTCTGAGGGTTGGTGTGGACTTGTTGAGCCAAAGGGCCTGTTTCCATACTGCAGGGACTCTATGATACAGGGAGAATGTGTAAACTCCACACAGACAGTCACCCAGGGCGAAATTAAACCCGGGTCCCTGGTGTCAAGAGGCAGCAGTGCTAACCACTGAGCCACCGTGCCGCTCTAATTTCTCGTGTTGCACCATTGCAGTCATGCCTCCAGCTGCTTAGGCTCTGTATAATTCTCTCCTTGAAGACACCTCCTCAAAACCTCCATTGTCAATCAAAAGTTCAGTCATGGTTGGGGCTCTGTCCAATGTTTGCTCCTGTGAAGGACCATGGGGACATCATACTCTGTTGAAGGTACTATTTAAATGTGAATTGTTGTTGTGTTGTACTTGTATCTTCCTGTCCCTCCATAGTTCTTTGCTTTTCACCCTTATCTTCCTTGGGTTTAAAGTCAAAGACACCATGCTTTCCCACATGGAAATACACCTAACCCTGAACTTAACACCTGAAGCAACAGGTGAAGATCTCTTTAAGGTTATTGTGCACTTTGTCTTCTTAAAGTTAGTGTTATCAGCAAACTTGGAGATAGGGCTTTCTGTCCCTTCAGCTAAAGCGGGTCAAATACGATCACATACACTTGAATATACAAATATACAAAGCATTTAGCCATTGGAACCGTGAGCATACTCCACCAATTTGATAAGATCAGGACCAGTCTGAACTGAAGAAGATCTCAACCTGGCATATTACTTGAATTGATCTCAGTGTTTTTGGCCCTGTCCTCTCTCAAATCCCACACTGCGCCCCACCTCGCTTCAGTGTCGGGCTCATTCTGATGTGGGCAGACTGTTTGACTGCAAAGGATTTTGCATCCAGGTCCAGTCCTCGCCTGGCGGCCACATTTGGAGCACTGGCTGCCGTACTGTAGAAAAGCTATTGTTAAACTAGAAAGAGTGCAGAAAAGATATACTACGGACAGTCTGGGCCGGAAGGTTTGAGTTATAAGGAGAGGCTGGGACTTTTTTTTTTCCTGGAGCATAGGAGACCCAAGGGTGACCTTATGGAGGTCTATAAAATGGTGAGAGGCACAGATTTTCACACAGAGCGTGGTGCATATATGGAATGAGCTGCCAGGAGAAGTGGTGGAGGCTGGTACAGCATTTAAAGGGCACCTGCTTGGGTACATGAATAGGAAGGGTTTAGAGGGATATGAGCTAAATGCTGGCAGATGGGACTAGATTAATTTAGGATATCTGGTCGGCACTGGGAGTTGGACCGAAGGGTCTCTATGACTCAGATAGCCAACAGCTTTTCCCCAGGGTAAGGGAGTCTAAAAGTAGAGGGCATAGGCTTAAGGTGAGAGGGGAGAGATACAAGAGGGTCCACTTTTTCACACAGAGTGTGGTGAGTGTCTGGAATGGGCTGCCAGAGATAGTGGAAGAAGCGAATACAATTTCATCATTTGAGAAACATTTGGACAGGTACATGGATGGGATAGACATGGAGGGGTATGGCACAAACGCAGGTAAATAGGAATAGTTTAGTGAAAACTGGGCAGCATGGACAAGTTGGGCCGAATGGCCTGTTTCCATGCTGTTAACCTCTATGACTCTACGTAGGAGCAAAAGTAGGCCATTCAGCCCCTTCAAGTCTACTCTGCCATTCAATGAGATCATGGTGATCTGATCATCTTCAACTCCACTTCCCTGCCTTCGCCCCATAACCCAATTCTCAGCCTCGAAAATTCTTAATCATCCCAGGCTCGAGAGCCCTCTGTGGTAATGAATTCCACAGATTCACCACCCTCTGAGAGAAGAAATTCCTCCTTATTACCGTCTGAAATGGATGACCCCTTATCCTGAGGCTATGCCCTCTGAACCTAGACTCTCCCTCATAGGGAAACAATCTTTCTCACATGTGCCCTGTTGAGCCCCCTAAAAAATCTTGTACATTTCAACAACGCTTTGCAATCTTCTAAACTCCGATGAGTACAGGCCCAACTTACTCAACCTCTCCTCGTAAGACAGTACCTCCGCATCCAGGCTAAGCCCAGTGGCCCTTCTCTGGACTGCCCTCGATTATCAATATGCCTTTCCTTAGATAAGGGATGAAAATTGCTCACTGCCCTTTCCTGTAGGGATCGGTATGTAGGGAGGCAGAGGCTGGAGTTTCAACTCGCTCCTTTGACTGAGATTGCTACAGTAAGGGAAGCTTTGTGGCCATCCCCTGCAGTTCTGACCCTTCGGCCAACCACCCTCGTTGTATGTTTGCCCTCCCTAACTGTTCCAGAGACAAGCAGCGCAGAAGAGACCCTTCAGCCCATCGGGTCTGGGCTGACCTCTCTATGCACCAATCCCGTTTCCCAGCACCAGACTTATGACATCTCGAGTACTCTGTCAGGAATGGTGCCAGACAGGTTCAGGAGAGAGTTTAATCGTGTTCCAATTCCTTCCGATTCCAGACATCGATGAGTGCACCCTGTTCGGCCAGGAAATCTGCAAGGAAGGATTCTGCATGAACACCCAGCCTGGCTTTGAGTGTTACTGCAAACAAGGCTTCTACTATGATGGGTCCCTGTTTCAGTGTTTGGGTGAGGAAGAGTTTTAAAATCCCACAGTAGTTACTTCATTGCCAAAAGGAGTCTGTTTCTGGGAACTGTTTCTAAATTCCCTCATGGAATGTGGGCATCACTGGATAGGCAGATGGATTGCCCCAGCCCTAATTGCCCTTTAAGGGTCACAGTCGGTCTGTAGGCCTGGCCAGGTAAGGGACACCAGAATTCCCGTGTTAACCAGATGAGTCTTCCCTCCATCACCCCCAGTAATCAGCGACAGTCGCCATCAGATGCTTAATTCCCGACTTATATCTGAATTCCAGCATTTGCCCTGGTTAGATTGGAAACCAGTTCCCTGGAACGTTAAAACAAAAGCCGAAAGAACTGCGGATGCTGTAAATCAGGAACAAAAACAGAAGTTGCTGGGAAAGCTCAGCAGGTCTGGCAGCATCTGTGAAGGGAAAAACAGAGTTAACGTTTCGGGTCCGGTGACCTTTCCTCAGAACGTTACGTGGGTCACCGGATTAAATCACTCGTCCATCATTGTGTAAACAAGTGGCAGAAAGAAGATCCTACACAGGTTAGACAGCTGGGAGTAGCTGGGACAGTAGTCCCGAGTAGACAAACTAGTGTGCTCTTTTGGAGGGAGGGTCTCTTTATATTTGACTGATTTACTAAGAATGAGACATTTAAACCTCTGAGCACTTTATGAATGAGAGAGAGCCAGGCATTTGGTCTTAATGAATGAATATTTTACCAAAAATGTCTCAGAAACATCACAAATATGCACTTGAATGACTTGCAAGTTTTTTTTTTTCTTTTTCTTTTTCTTTTTCTTTATTCGTTCACGGGATGAGGGCGTCCCTGGCTAGGCAGCATATATTGCCCATTTTTAATTGCCCAGAGGGCAGTTCAGAGTCAATTGCTGTGGGTCTGGAGTCACAAGTAGGCCAGACCAGGTAAGGATGGCACGAAAACAAAGTTGCTGGAAAAGCTCAGCAAGTCTAGCAGCATCTGTGAAGGAAAAAACACAGTTAATGTTTCGGGTCCAGTGAGGATGGCAGTTTCCTTCCCTAAAGGACATTAGTGAACCAGATGGGTTTTTCCTGGCAATTGGCAATGGAGTCATGGTCATCATTAGATTCTCAATTCCAAATATTTATTGAATTCAGTTTCCACCATCTGCCATGGTGGGATTTGAACCCAGGTCCCCAGATTAACAGTCCAGCAATAATACCACTAGGCCATCGCCTCCCTGGAACTGACCCATTACATTGACAATTACCGTGGGCCACGGGCAACGGCCAGTGATGTGGGTTTCCATTTCTGGCCTGGTTCTGGTCGAGGGAGCTAGGAATTGAGCAGCCCACTCAGGAAGCCAGCCGCGCCCGGGCCGTCGGATTGGGATTGTTCCTGCCTGTGTTAAAAGGCTTTTTGTGTGCCCCCCCCCCACCCCTCACAGATGTGGACGAGTGCCAGGACGTTCAGAGCTGCCCCAACGGAAGGTGCATCAACACCGAGGGGTCCTTCACCTGCCACTGCCCTCCGCCGATGACCTTCGACAAGGTGAAGAGACGTTGTGTGCAGCCTGTGGTTCTTATTGGTAGGTCCTGACTGCAGGGGGTCACCCAACCTGAGTTCCTTTTGTCTTCCTGGAGCTTTCATTACACTACCCCAACTCTTGTTCTGACCACTGCTGGTACAGAGGGCATCGTGTCATTTTTGTGGGACGTGGGCATCGCTAGCTGGCCCAGCATATATTGCCCATCCCTAGTCGCCCTGGAGAAGGTGGCATTGAGCTGCCTTTTCGAACCGCTGTAGTCTGTGCACTGCAGGTAGACCTGCAACGTTGCGTCGCCTTTTCAGTCATTGCCGGGCGGTCCGTCTGGTTTCACTTCTTTTTCCAGGCTATGTAGCAATCGTCACAACCAAGTTCCTCCTCGGGCTATTATCAGAGGGCAGCTAAAAGTCAACCACATTGCGGTGGGTCTGAAGTCACATATAGGCCAGACCAGGTAAGGATGGCAGTTTCCTTCCCAAAAAGGACATTAATCATAGAATCCCTACAGTGTGGGGGCAGACCATTTGGCCCATCGAGTCCACACCAACCATCCAAAGAGCATCCCACCCAGACCCACTCCCTGAGTGTGGCATTTCCCCCCGCTAATCCACCCATCCCTGGGCACAATAGCACGGCCAATCCAGCCTAACCTGCACATCCCTGGGCACTATGGG